CCATCAGGGAGGGCCCCCTGGCTATATCTTGAGGATGTTTCTGGATGAGATTGACCTGGTGTATCTACTAAGGACTGCTAGAACAAAAGGAGGGTAGAAGGACAATTTGCCCCCTTTTGTATCCTGTGTGCCTGCTTGAGCTAGGACGTTGACCTCCTGTCCTTGGACTGAGGACTATACCACCTACTCCCCTGGCTCTCAGGCCTTCAGACACAGGATGAACTGCCCTACTAACTTTCCTGCGTCTCCAGTTTGCAGACAGTGGGTGGTGGGGCTTCTTAGTCTCCATAATCACTTGGGTTAATGCCTCTAAATAAATCTCTTCCTATATATCTACATATGTCCTATTCATTCTGTTTCTTTGAAGAATCCTAATTAATAGAGGAGTCTCCATCTGAGCATCCTTATACCATTCAACTGTATGATCAAATGGCTTTATGGACCCAAGCAGAGTGAGTCCTGAGTCTCCTGGGCCTTCTGGGGGATATTCAAATCCAGGCACAGGGAGGAAGAAACAGACATCCTCTGAGGGAGCAGGGGGTCTGGCCAAGGAGTGGGCTAACGACCATGGTACTTACAGGTTCTGGGTCCCCCTCTCTTAGGACACTGGCGAGAAAAGTGGTCAGGGCTGGACAGAACCTCTGCAGGACCCTGGATGCAGGGGAGGGAAGGCTGCCATGCCTCTGCCTCCACCTGCCTTTGGCCCCACACGTGGGTTCCCCCCAAATGCCTTCTGGTAGTTCTTTCTGCACAAAGCAGATGTTTTCACCACCCTGAGGGGGTGTTCTCTCTTACGGTTCATCAGGCATGTAAATTTGGACAAGAAATTTATATCTGTGGGGCCCAGCTTCTTTGAGGGGGAACATTGAGGTCATTCTCCCCTTGGGGACCCAAGTTGGCAGGCCTGCCTTGTGGGCACTGGTCTGACATTTCCAGCAGGTGCTTCCTCCCCCAAAGCTTCCAGGGGACCAAGGCAGGAACCACAAGAGCACCTCAGGGCCATTCCTCTAACCAGCTCTGCAAAGCCAAGAAAGTTTGGAATGGTGGCCCAGGAACCTGGCATGCAGTGGCCCCACCCCTGGGAGGGTGGAGGAAGGTGTTGGCCCAACCCAAATAGGGCCCCTGGAGCAGTAGCGGTGTGAGGATGTGGAATCTCCATGTCTGCACCATGTCCTGGGCTCCTGTTCTTCTGGGACTCCTTATCTGCTGCACAGGTGAGAAGGCCCCAAAGCCAGCAGTTCCCAGCCTTTGCCCCTGCCCTGCCCTGCCCTGCCCTGCCCTGCCCTGCCCTGCCCTGCCCTGCCCTGCTCTGCGTGCACACCAGCTTCTGTGTCCCCAGGTTCTGGCCCTCAGCCTGTGCTGAATCAGCCACCATCCATGTCTTCATCCCTTGGAACTACAATCCACCTGCCCTGCACCTTGAGCAGCGACCATGACATCAGCATTTATGACATCTACTGGTACCAGCAGAAGCCTGGTCACCCACCGAGATTTTTGCTGAGCTACTTTTCCTACTCAAACAAGATGCAGGGGCCCAAGATTCCTCCTCGCTTCTCTGGATTCAAAGACGTGACCACAAACACAGGCTACCTGAGCATCTCTGACTTGCAGCCTGAAGATGAAGGGATGTACTTCTGTGCCCTGGGGATCCAGAGAATGGAGAGGGAAAGGAGAGAAGAAAAGGAGCCTGCTGCTTCAGAGCCCCCAACTTCCCAGGACGCTCATACCTTGAACTAAAGACAGAAGGCGCAAACATCTCCAGGAGAGGTGGGTGTGGGCAAAGAGGAGGGTGGGTCTGCCTGAGCAGAGCTAAGGGGATAGCTGTCCAGCTTCTCCTGTCCAGCAGCATTGCCACGAGCCTCTTTGAAAGCTAGACAAACGGATTAAAGTTGCTTGTGTTCGGGGAAGTTATTTTGCTGAGTTTGATCTGACCGGTAGGCTGAATTTGTACCAAGGATGGTACAAATGGTCAAAGGTCAGAATGGGTAGGACATGATCTAGGGTACAGGTCCCCAGAGACTAGACCATCATGGCTGGATTGGCTAGAGCCTGTTCTTGTGGGTTAAAGCCCAGGGGATGGGCTAAGGGGAAGGGGCTGACATTAGCCCCTTTGGGGTTGCCCCTGCTGAGGGCAGGATGCTCTATTGTCTCCTGAATAGGCACTAGAGTTACAGGGTAAGCAAGCTTTGAAAATGCCTATATCAATCCTCCAGGGCGGAGAGTGGATGCCAAATGGGGCAGATTCTCCACTCCAGGACTTTTGACATTTTGGGGGAAATAGATGGAGGTGCCCTGTGTCATCATGGTAGGAGTTGGGCAGATCCCTGGCTTCTAGCCACCAAATGCCATTATCGCTCCCTCCCCCCTGTAGTTCTGACAATTGAAAATGCCTCCAAGTATCACCAAATATCACCCAAGGTGGCAAAACCACCCTGAGACTTCTGGTCTAGGTGAGAGAAATGCACTTAATCTTCTGACCATCCAGGGCTGGCAAATATTTTCTGAAAACGTCAGAGAGAGGAAATATCTTTGACTTTCAGGCCATACGATCCCTTCCATAACTATTTAATTATACCCTGATACCAAGAAAGCAGTAACAGACAACATGATTACATTCCTTTTCAACTTTATTTAGAGAGAGAGACGGAGCTGGCACTAGGACCTATTTGCCAACCCCCACTCCAGAGTAGCCCCCCAGGCCCTGTCTCTAGGAGTTCCCTTGCATTCCATTCCAAGTTGCATTTTGTGATAGGTGCTCAATGTCTAAATCCACTTATTCATTATGGAATGCAAAATGGGTATATTCTCATTCAACCATCCTCCTCCATTCATTACCTAGGAAACTTACCTTCATCAGTGATTTAGTCATCTTGAGAGTCTATTTGTGAAAGCAACATAAATGTTTGATCATTGTCCTCTTTTTTTTCAGCTATTAAAGTGACATGTCAGTGAACCAGTATCAACAAACACTCATTTGTTTGTATGCTTACAAATACATGTATAGAAGCATATCTGAGGTTTTTAAATCTATTACAATTGCAAGTTTTTCAATCTTTGGTCTATACAAGCCTACAAGCCTGGTTTCTAACCAAGAACATTTTAATGTTCAATTTTGTTAATATTTTTAAATTTGGGGCAAGAAAATCTTCACTCCAGTTAATTTTCAAGAGTAGTGATTTATAACATGGAGAGAGTGCACAGAATAGAGAAAGCGCACAGAATAAGGAAATCATTTCTTTTGCAACCTTCAATATAATGGCAATTACTAGAGTTGTCATCCCACAAGCTCTAGTCACAAAAGGGACATGGACATTTCTGTAGGAGAAATTTGACAGTCACATGCACCCTAGTGAGGCCTCAAGTCTCACTTCTCCCATAAAAGAACAAGCCAAGAAGTTTCCCTCCTGGAGGTCAAAATAGGAAGCGCTCGATAACATGGCGTGAAAGACGCTACATCTCAAGTGAGTCAAGCTTCCAGACTTCCACCAGTTTTCAGGAAATACAGAGGCACCAGGAGAACAATCATACAAACTCAGACTGTGGGGCACGGGAAGAAAATAAAAATAGATTTGGATTCTTCAAGAAGTGAATGCCATGAAAGAAAAATGTGTAAGAGGAGACTAAAAAAACCTAACAAGTAAAATGGGGCCTCCCTGCAGGGGTTAAAGTCTCAGTGCTATCAAGCTACTGCCAACTATACTTAGCCAGGGAACTGACCCACATGGCACAGTGGACCACTCCTGTCTCACCTGCTGCTCCCCTCAGTAGATCTGCCTGTTCTGCTCCCCACTCTGTGTCTGGTGAACCCTCTCATCCCCTGTACGTTTGGCCTGTACCCCAGTTCTTGTATGCATAAATAAATAAAAATAACCTTTAAAAAAAAAGAAACCTAACAAGTAACTAGAATGTGTGATTTGCAATTGGATTTTGTTTGGGAGGGAAAAGCACAGTAACTATAAATAAAAATCATTTTTGTGAGCCATTGTAGAAATTTACTCTGGACTGGATATTAGCTACTATGGGATAATGTTTTTCAAATTCTCAGGTGTAATTAGGCTTTTTAGAAGAACATGTCAAAATGATTGCAACTAATTTTTTCAAAGCCTTAAATTTTGAAGTAATAGAGATTTGTGTGAAGTTGCAAAATAACATATTGAGAGGAAACAGCACAATTCCCCCAGTGTTAGTATCTTGCATAATTACGGCAATGCTGTATCAATGCCAAGAAAGAGACATTGGTACAAAGCTTGTTCATATTTCTCCAATTATACCTCTACTCATTTGTGCATTGTGTGAGTGAAGATTCTATCATGTGGTAGCTTCATATGGTCACCACCAGTCAAGACACTTAGTTCTACCATCAGCACAAGGTTCCCTGTGCTACCTTTTATACTATACCCATTCCCTCATTTTCCCATCCCCTGCTCCCAATAAGCACTAATGTGTTCTCCATCTCTATTATTTTGTCACTTCAAGAATGCTATATAAATAGAATCATAGGGCATGTAAACTTTTTTAAAGATTTATTTATTTATTTGTGCATACAGAACTGGGGTACAGGCCAGAGGCTCAGGGGCGGCGAGAGGCTTCACCAAAGACAGAGTGGGGAGCAGAACAGGCAGATCTACGAAGTACACTGCTGAGGGAAGCAGCGGGCGGGCCAGGAGAGGTCTGGCTCGCCATGTGGTCTCCTCCGGGGCAGGCGGCAGGCGGGAATCGAACTCATGCGGAAGTGGCTTCAGATTCTCAGTGCTGCGCTTCAACCCGCTGCGCCACCAGGGAGGGCCCAGGGCATGTAAACTTTTGAGAGTTTTTTTCTCTCAGCATAACTCCCTTGAAATTCATCTTAAGTCATTGCATGTATCAACAGTTCATTGCTTGTCATTGCTGTGTAATATTCCACAGTATGGATTATCACCATTTGTGTAGCCATTCACTGATTGAAAGACATTTAGGTCACTTCCAGTTCGGGGTTATTACAAATAAAACTGCTAGGAACATTTGTATACAAATTTCTTTGCGAGCATGTTTTCCTTTTTCTGGGATAAATACTCAGAAGTACAATAGGTCAAATGGTAAGTCCCTATTTTTTAAGTTTCATAAGAAATTCACACTGGGCTTTCCCTGGTGGCGTAGTGAGTTAAAGCACAACATTAAGAAGCTAAAGGCACTTCAACATGAGTTTAATCCCCATCCCCGGAGGTGACCAATATGGCACGGCAGACCTCTCCTGACCAGCCCACTGCTCCCCTCAGCAGTGTTCTTCATCAGTTCTGCCTGTATACTGCCCACTCTGTCTCTGGTGAGTCCTCTCACCACCTGCACCTCTGGCTTTGTACCCCACTTTTGCATGCATAAATAAAAAGAAATCTTAAAAAAAAAAAAGAAATTCAAACTGGGCCCTCCTTGGTGGCTTAAGGGATTATGTTCAGCCTCAAGGGATGAAGCTATCTGCAGCCACTGCAGCATGAGTTTGATCCCCTGCCAGGAAGCTAACACTACTGTCTTGCCCGCTGCTCCCCTTAGAGGTGTGTTTCAGCAGATCAGCCTGTTCTGTTCCCTACACTATCTCTGGTGAATGCTCTCACCTCTCCCACTGTTAGCATCTTGCTAACTCTGGTGAACTCCCCCCATCTCTGACCTAAACCCCAGTTCTTATATGCATAAAAAAAGTCCTTTTTAAAATTCAAGTTATTTCTGAGCCCTCCCTGGTGGCGCAGTGGGTTAAAGCACAGCACTGAGAAGCTTAAGCCACTTTCGCATGAGTTCGATCCCTGCCTGCCCC